GCTTCTGGCACCGTCAGCGGAACAAATAGGCCGTTAGAACACTAAACATCTGATTTGCTCACTGCACCACCGAGGATTTCCTCAGCCTGCATATTTCATTCTGTTTAACTGTCTGCCATTATTCATTGCTGCAGTAAAATTGCAACGCTGCTCGTATCAATACTGCAAAAACCTGCTGGACAGAGTGGAAACGTTTTGATGTGGATGCTAATGCAAGTTTCAGCCACGGAAGCCAGTGAGTCCCAGGAGCATAAAACTACAGTTAGTGCTAAAGATGGTCTACTGAAAAAACCCACACTTACCAGCAACTGGATAACGCAAGGTCACACCCACCTACGAGCAAGCACTTGGTGATAGTGGGAAGGAAAAAATCCCTTTTAACAGGAAGAAATCTCCAGCAGAACCAGGCTCAGGGAGGGGCGGGGCCATCTACGGCCATCATTACATTCCATGTAAAGTCTGTTGTGTATGATTGTTCTGTAGATGCACTCCAAAAATCAGGTACCACGAAGCTTCTCCATGCATTCATATGATGCATGTATGTTTATACAGATTACATACTGTACATGGAAGTTAGCACGTGACATCATATTGCGGGTGAATGCTGAATAGGCAGATTTTTTCAGAAAATTGAATAGATTAAAAGACACTAACTGAAAAGGTTATTTTTCAGATTAAAAGTTGCCTTCACTGCTTCTCTGTGCTTGCAGTAAACAGATTGTGCCTGTTGAAAGTCAGGCTATTAAATCCATTTAGAGTGCGATGCTAAAAGTCGAAATATTTTGAAGTGAAGGCACTCCGTGCCGTGAAAACATGCCACACTCTCAGCTCTGTCAAGCACATGAAACAGCAGCTCGTTTATGGAGAGCAGGAGGCGGCAGAGGAGGTTTCTGCTGCCGTGTTAGCCGGGTTTTGTCAGCTGACTAGTTCATCTGCCAGAGGCTCGTGTTGGTTTCTCAGCCAAGAGGCAGACCTCTCTTAAAACTGAACTAAAGAACCAAAAACACTCGTTTGATTTACATACAGCACACACATGTACATCGTTCACGTTCACGGTCACATTAGAGATGGCTGGCCATAAAAAAAGTTCATGTGTAATGTGTGGACAAACACTCATTTTCCTCTCTCACATTATTTTTTCATCAGTTCAATCCGGCCCATCTTCAAGAGTTAGCACGAGCTGTGCCGTTTAGTGAATGTGTTACAACATGTCTGGTTATAGTATCAGTAAGATTGATGGTCACTCCCAACATGTCATGTATCAATGAGGAGGATTACTATTGTACAGAGATGTGTTTCAACCCACCATCTTTCCCTAAGAAGGCAGGTTTTAGTTCCTGAGCCTAACCAGCAAGTGGAAGCGACAGTAAAGTGAAGAAGAAAAAAGAAACTGTGTCCAAAACAAAAAGTTCTCAAGCAGACACGAATCGGTGTCCGGTTTGCTGCTAATCCTGGAAAGTACACCTTCCTATGAGGATTTTGGACATCTCTTAAACATGGCTGTTATCACTTGGCAGCTGATGCAGCTGTGGCTGGAATGTCAAGAGTAGCCATGCTAAAGGACACTGTGTGCATAATGGAGAGACACAGCGGGTACCTGACAAAGCAGCACTGTACAGGAAAACGGTGCGCACATCGTTCCCTCAACAAGTACAAGATACTTCACTCGACTGCAAAGCATGTGGGTGGCTGTAGCTCAGGTGGCAGAGCAGGTCAGCCACTAATCAGAAGGTAGGTGGTTCGATCCCAGGCTGCCTCAGGGCTGCATGTCAAATATCCTTGGGCAAGATACTAACCCCATGTTTGCCTACTGGTGGTGGTCAGAGGGCCCGGTGGCGCCAGTGTCCGGCAGCCTCGCCTCTGTCAGTGCGCCCCAGGGCAGCTGTGGCTACAATGTAGCTGCCATCACCAGTGTGTGAATGTGTGTGGGAATGGGTGGATGACTGAATGTAGTGTAAAGCGCTTTGGGGTCCTATGGACTAGAAAAGCGCTATACAAATGCAGGCCATTTACCATGAATAACGGTAAAGGTGTTGTGTTCATGTCATCGGTGACACAACCAGCTGGTGGGAAAAATGAGTTTATGTGAACTGATGTTGAGATTTAAAGCACAATCCTGACAAAGTGCAAGACTGACGTGCACTTTAGGTCCTGTGACACACCTGGGCTAATATGGTCCCTCGCTATAACGCGGTTCACCTTTCGTGGGTGGCCTCGCTGTTTCGCTGATTTTTTTGTGTGTGCAATTTTGCATGTTTTTTTTGTTTTGTTTTCGCTTTTTTTTTTTACACCACATTGTGTTCTGTGTCCTGATTGGCTGTAGGCCATTGTCAAACAATCCCCTCCGTGCCGTGTCTCCTTTACAGTACAGAATGTGTTCAGAATATACGTAAATCTTTGATCGCTAGCAGTGTGGAAGATGCTAACCATCACACAAAAAGTTGGACTTGTGGATGTGCTAAAGGAGGGTAGTAGGGAAGGTTTCGGATTATAAGGCGCATTAAGCGAAACAAAACAGTCAGGCTTGCCTGGAACTCTGAAGTCTATACCCAAACGCCATGACCAAAGATGAAAATGAGAATTGATACAACTGCAGAAGCTGGACTGCAACATGTTCACAGCTTTGCTACAGTAATACGCTTTACCCTGACCACTGCAGACTTTAGTCAAACTGTCACTGAACAGGAGAAACTAGTAATGCATCATCCACCATGTCAAATCAACAGTGGCACAACGTCGTGCAGCAAAGACAACTGTTTTATTAGCATGGCTGTTTCTTTATATTCATGTTCAGTGATAGAATAGAACGACTTGTTTCTGTTTTAGGGGTCGTGTAATGGTTTTATGCAAAATGGATGCAAAAAACGAAGGTTGTGCGACATTTGCGCACAACCTGAGAACAAATTCCACCTGAAATTCACAAAATATCAGCGCGGCTGTCAAACACGATCTTTCCAAATATCACGCTTTCTCTGCAGCCCTGTGACTCATCACAGGCACTAATAGAAATGTCAGAAACACTGCCTTTACAGCTTCTTACTCATATGAAAATGTGACATGTAGCATGAAATTGTACCAAAAGCTACACACGAACACCTGTGTTTGAAACTCGTCTTACTGCCTGCTGGTTCCTGAACATGCTGCTTCATTTACAGCTCCGCACCGCGTGAGGGAACGCTGCCTTGATTTGGTTAAGTAACCCTGAACAAAGATGACTGCAATCTGCGAAAATTAACTTCTAAATGCACGAGTCTCCTCACAGACGATTTTCAGATGTTAAAAGCCCTCTTTTTAGAAATTGCACTCAGTAAACCTGCTGTGGCCCTGCTGGAGACTGCACCGTCTGCAGGTCTTCACTGCACGTTCTGTCTGCGATGCCTTTACCTGCTGGATTCATAAGCCCGTTGGACGTGTCGAGTCGCTGTGACATTTAATTTAATTGAATGGATCTGAATTCACCATTTAACATGTCTGCAAGTGTTTGCACGGTGCTCCTTGGAAAGGGCATAAGTAGACTTCTTGTTCAGTTGAAACTCAGCACCCGTCTCCCCCCCTCTGCCTCTCTCTGTTCGCTCCATTTAACTGAAGCCACCAGCTACATGAATACCCATGAACAGCCAGGAGCTCTGCCAACAGCTCCATTACAATCTGCACTCTACCTCCTCTTCATCCCTCCCTCCCTCTTTGTTCTCTCTCCATCGCTTCACTCTTTTCCCCCTGCTCTTCTTCTCTTGCTTCAAATCTCTCTCTACCTTGTACTCCATGGCCAAAGTATGGGGACATCTGAATGTTGCACCTGTACAAAGTCCACTGATAGTCTGGTATCTAAATAGACACGCCGGCTCCTCGTTTATGTGATACTGATAGATGCCAAAGTAGTAACTATTTCTAGTTTGCATAGATCTGAAAAGGAGTTACTCAAAGTGTCACAGTAAGCCCATTTTGATTGTTCTTTATCAGCATGTCAGTAAAATTTACTGTTTTGCAGATAAAGTGCAGTCGTATACGTTTTTTTCAGCTTCTCCTCACTGACGCCAAATTTAAGCTCCTGTAAATCTTGTTTGTAACCTCTCATCTTGCAGCAATAATGCACGCGTGAACTCGAATCATTCCCTACACAGTCTGTAGCCTGAAGCTCTCCACTGTGTTTGTGTTGTTGATGCCTTTTGGAATATTTTAATAGAGTTCTGTGAAAACTAATGTGGCTTTCTCTCACAAATTCTAGGATTTTATTAATCTGTTTAGTCAGCAGATTCGCGTGTCTGGGCTTCACACCTGTAAAGTTCATGAATGCAGCACGCTAACCAGGCTAGCTAGCTCTGCCCTCTGGTCACGTGTGGCTAAAACAAATCAGCAGTAAATCCATCATTTATATACAGTCTGTGGTTAAACTGTGATATCAGTGCACTGGAAACAGACAAACGTTTATCTGTCACTGCTGGTAACAATTTCAGCAACACAGGCCCAAATACCTCCGCTCTGACCCTACACCCCCCTCTGACCACATGCTCCTTTCATTCAAACTGTGCAGCTCTGCAGCAGTTTGGACAGCAGGCTGTCTGTCGCTCACACATCTTTAACCCGGACGGACACCAGAGAACACGGCACGCTTTTGACTTTTGTACAGTTTTATGAAATTGTAGCTTTCATGCAACTTTGCCCAGGTGTCTAAAAAAGTTGCTAGCTGTCTCTGAAACCCGGGACTTCCTCCCTTCATCGAAACTGAGAGGACACTAAAGCATTGTCTGCATATTTTTGGCCTCATACTGTCACGTCTGCGTCTCTGCGTTTCCCTTCTTGGGCCACCTCCCCTCTCTGCGTGTGTGTGTGCGTGGATATTTGCCTCTTGTATTTCTCCTTCCCTCCTGTATTTATTTCATTCTGTCCTCTCTGCTGCTGGTCCTCCCCTTCCAGTCAGGGTGAGGGATCTGTGCGCCTCCCCATTGGTTCAGAAACAGGGCAAAGTCCCGCCCCCTCCTCTCTCTCTCCGTCTCCGCGAGGCAGAGTGAAAGTGGAGGAAGCAGGCAGACGTGTTGCAACAGATGGCTTCACCAGCGGCGGCTCGGCGGCTGCAGCACCGCCGTTAGACACACTCGGATGCAGACAGGGAGGGAGGGGAGCTCGTGAGCGTGGCTGTGGAACAAATCAAGAAAAAAAGGAAGAGAGGGAGACTTTTACCTCCTCCTCTGCCTCGGCTCACAAACTCACTCTTCCTCTCCAGACACACAGGAGCACATGCCGGTGTGAGCGCAAGTTTAAAAAACATTATTTTATGGATTTCCGAAACTAAGGGGAGTTATGGAGGTGGCGGTGTGAACCCAGCCTTCCTCCCCTTCCTGCCGGAGGGGTCAGAGAGGAGAACACCTGCTGACAGTGAGGAGTTCCTGAAGGAGGCGACGCAGCCGCAGGAGGAGGAGGAGGAGGAGGTACAGCACTGTCTTCATGCTTCTGCAGGAGCGCCTGTGTGTGTGTGTGTGTGTGTGTGTGTGTGTGTGTGTGTGTGTGTGTGTGTGTGTGTCTTCAGTTCTGCTCTACTTCACTGTGTGTCACTTTCTGTGGTCAGAGCTGTTAGTCAGAGCAGCTTTGTTAATGTGTGTGTGTGTGTGTGTGTGTGTGTGTGTTGCTCCACTTTACCGATGTGTTCCTTGCATTAGTTTTGAGGCCATCCTGTACTTAGACTTGTTTGCAACTGTGTTTCACGTGCTTTCCCACCTTTTTCAAAGTGTGTGTGTGTGTGTGTGTGTGTGTGTGTGTGTGTGTGTGTGTGTGTGTGTGTGTGCATTTATTTATTGCTTCCTGATTGCTGAACACGTGGGAGTGTGTTATAGCTGCGCAACACTGAGGCCAGTCAGGATAGACGGAGAGGGAGGAAAGACAGAAAGAAGAGGTAGATGAATGGAGGGAGGGAAAGAGGAAAAAGGAAGGAAGGGAGGAAAGCTGTTCCACCCAGCTCTGTTTTCATTATAATCATATTTTTTATGCTCCACTTTACCTAAGTAAGTAACAAAGGGCTTCATGGGGAATATAAACCGTGAAAAGAGGCTGTAAAGAGCAACTCAGACCAATAGAAACCATAAAAACACAAGAAGTGTGCAACAAATACAGTGAACTGAGACGTGACACACACACCGTGCTGAGTTATGTGAGACTCCATGAATCCAGTAACAATAACTGAGCTCTTTCAAAAGCTCCGGGTGGAAAACGGTGACTTTGTTGTGTAATTATGCTGAACTCATGAAACGAGTCAGTGCTGCACAAACTTGTAATTGTTTTATACAGCTACACTAATAAAGTGCAGACACTATGAATATTCACACGCTGTGATTGGACGACACTGCAGACCTGGATAACTATTGGAGACTGAACGGCTCATTAAGATGAAACTAACTGTTTTGTACATGACTTCATGATAATGATGCTGCGTAGCACCTGTGTTTTGACTACATGTGTGTGTTAACCTGTTGTTGTGTGTGAGTGATGTAAATCACATCAGAAGGTCGGTGTGGGGCTCCCAGATAACCACGAGCCTCCAATAACACCCAGCAGGTCACTGATGGAGCGTTCAGGGTCAGGGGACGCAAAAGCTTTTAGTAGGAAAAACTGTGACGCTGTGTTTGAGGCTTTATTTGAAAGGTAACAGCCACGGGCGACCAGCAACTGATTGGAAATTAAGCTCACAATGAAACACTTTTTATATTTCTCCCCTTCGAACCATCTAAGCAAAAACTTTCACTGCTGACTGACCCTGGAAGACTCGCCACAAATGCTCCAAACATTCATCTCTCTCACTCTCATGAGTGAAATCAGACGTCCTCCTCTGCACCTGTGCATGGACCAGTTTCAGAATGAATACTTTGCGTGAACCTGGTGGAAAAGGTTGTTGCGATCAGTCCTTTTGTCGGCTTTGCTGTTTGTTGGGTTGGAATTCTGTTTTTTGCTGAATTAGAAAAATGAACTGTTCCCCGTCAGTACTAAGCCCCGCCCAACAGTTGGCCCCGAAACACCTCCCTGTTTATGCTCCAGTACTTCCTGCCTGGTGAAAACCTTTGGGGCAGATCTTTAAGAATTTAATATTGTTGTCTGGCCAAGAGAGCCGAGATCGTCCCTGCAGTTTTAGTTAATTATGCTGTAATACAACAATTTGGAGCCGTGGCAAAAATGAGCCAATGACAATCATCAGGAGTCAGAGACGGTGATCCAGATTGAAAAGGCCGGAAGACTGACACAGTTGTGATGTTTTGGGGGGAAATTATGCAATAAAATGTGATGAGCGATTGAGATATTATTTCTTTAGTTCCTTAGAAAGATGTCAGATATTTGGTTATAGAACTTTTGGTTTTGAGATAATCGACAGTTTTGCTTTATCTTTGAGCGCCACAACGTTTTGTAGAGACAGCGCTGCACTGATTACTAAAGACAACAGATCAAAGTATAAAGTCGAGCAGCAGCAGTACACTAAAACCTGTCCTCTGCACCTACTGTGTGTGTGTGTGTGTGTGTGTG